GCTAGTAAATTGGTTGTAACCTCACCTGAATTTTTACAGTGAGTATCGAACTTAGTATCAATCAGCTAAGCGTCACTGACTAAAAAACTTAGTCCATATAGACACTGCTAACAGGTTCAATAGTTTTGGAGTTATTCTTAAGATGCATCTGGCTGAAAATTTTCAAACAGATCGACATAAAATTCTTAGATTCCCCCGGTTGTCACAATCTTATACAACATACTGATACATACTGGTACAACTATTCTGAACATAAATATTTCGATTAAGTTCAATCATAAGCATTCATGAATACAAATAACTGTAGAATCCTTATGGTCGTCACTTGATGTGCTTGAAACTGTTACGAGTTCACCTTAGTCGATAAACGAGAATGAGACAATGACTCAGTTACACAATAGGCTATTCTGATCCATTGCCCCAACTAACTGAAGAAAAAGTCTTGATATAGCGTAGAAAACGTAGTCTACAACAACCCAGCAAGTACAGTAAACTCAAGCACACTAATCGCGTACATCATAGAAGCGGCTTTGGGAGAGTCACAAAAATAGCTTATTTAAAATAACACATCAGTCAATCATGGCCAAGGATTTTCTTGGTGAGAAATGTGATCTGAAGGTCAACTGATCGGTCCATGTATAAAATCCAAAATTAAGACATGTATCAAGTGAATTCTAGGGAACTAACATCCCCAACAATAATACAAACTATTATAAGTTAAGATAAGAATATTTTTCATTTAGCTTTACAGAAAAAATGTAAATTGTGATTAAATTATGTCGTAACACTATAATTATAAACTGCATGAAAAGAGTTATTTTTATACTTAAAAAGTATTTAGGAATTGGTTATTATTAACTGTTTATATAGAGAATAATATCAATCTCTAATATATATACATATATATTATTAGTATACCTGATTAATAATAGAAATATGTTATTTCACTGAATGCTCATGTAAACAATTTTTTCGTTTAATAATAAAAATTTACTGTTGAATTTTTTTGTTTTGATTTATTCTAGCAAAATTTATGATTTAATAATTTAAAATTTTAATTAATTAATATAATGAATAAGAGGTCACCTAATTTATATAGTTTAAGTTCAAATGAAAGCAAAACAACAACAAATAAATAATTAAAATAATTTATCATTGAAAAAAAAGGCGATGGCGTTCAATTCATTTTATTATATAAGTTACTTAAGTTTTTTTTTTAAAAAAATGAATTAACTATTAGGTAGAAGAGATGGGGATAAAAAGATTAATTTAATTATAAATTAACACTGGTAAATTTATTTATTTATTTACTCATCTGTCTTTTATTGTTCTCTACATGATCATTCCCAGTTAATAGGTCATATTTAAGTAGTCATTTATATATATATATATATATATATATATATATATATATATAAGAGTGAAATAATTCAGAGCAACTCCCTAAAAACTTTAATGATAATAATTATTAATAATAGTAAAATGAACTCACTTGGATTACATTTGAAAAAAGCTATTAAAGTAAGGTTTTTTTCTGATGATCATTCACTTTGGAAGAGTACTTGTTGATTATTGAAGAAATATTTAGGAATAGGAATATGAAGTTGGCGCGTTGAACTATTTGTTTTAGAGTTTATTTTGTGACATTTTCATTTAACTTTGTTCAATCATTAAGTGGATGTTTGTTTTATCCTAGATTAGGACTTGTCAGCAGTGTGCAGATATGACCTCATATCATGGAACTGAACACAGAACTTAGGTAAATTCATTGTTATCCGCAAAACCCTACACGGATAATAATTGCCTGACTAGCTTCAAAACGAAACTCTTGCTGTTCTACTAAGAAGCTTTGACCAACCCTATTGTGTATGAGGAAGCTATCCATTTAGGAAAATAGAAGATTGTTGTTCAGTATCTCTGATTGATCGAAGTTAGATGTTTACAGCATTGGACAACGACCGGTTCAGTGATTGGGTCCCGGATCCTGGTCGGAACGTGTAAACTGACTAGTTGAATCAGTTAGCCGCTTATGAATTTTATTGATACGCTAACTAGTGTACTACAAACAAACCTGTTCAAGTATTGTCTTTTTATTGAAAACACACTTTTAAATTAGATTTAATCTACTTCATCAAATTTTTAGCTTACTTATTACACTGTAATGGCCTTTATATAGAGATTTCATGATATATATATATATATATAACCTAGTAATAACTTTAATCATCACACGAACCACAATATTATAGCTTACATTTTATATTCAATTTTCGTACAAACGATTCTAATCCACTGTTTATGGCTCAACATCTCAAGCCATAATTATTCTTAATCTGTCTTGCATGACCTATTCAATTTAACCAGTGATGCATTTTCTTACTACTGAAGACTTCTTCGAACTAAAATCAAATATATTTCTTTTTATGATTATTGATTTATTCAGTCAGAGCATTTAAAAGTCTTCGTTAATGTTTAGACTAATATAAAACAAAATTAATAGACTTGTAATCATTAGAGTTCTGAGAAAAAGCTTATTGTTTTCAGTGACTTTCGTGAATGCATTGACTTTCACTAATTCTTTAGATAATTATTCACTGAAATGTAATGAATTTGATTCTGTTTAAATAACCTAGCTATTATGAATAATTGCACTTGGCGAGCTTATCAAAATAAGTCACTTGTATGATTCGTTTTATGAACGCTATGCATCGTTCGTTCGCACTACCAGATTGACTGATATTACAAGAGACTAGGATAGTTAAATATTTAAAACAATTACCAAGTTCTACAGATTTGTTCTGTAAGGCGTATATTTCTCGTTTTTGTAATGTCGAGGGATAAATAATGAAATAAATATTTGACTAATAATATTAGAGAGAACATTTACTCAGGTGATTTACCAGATAACTTATGTTTATGGAAAAGTTTTACATTGAGTAAAGTAATTGACATCTTCTAGACAGTTTTATAAATAGGTCAGAATCATTTATAGGGGCAGGTGTTTACATATTTTACCACAGATCATAGCCGGATATTAACAACTTGCGGTGTGTGGTAATATGACTGTTGGGTTTTCTTGGATCTGTAAACAGGTAAAATCACTTCCTGGATAATGACTAGAACGTTTATCAAATGAATTACTGAGGGTAGTTATTTTAATTTCAAATCAAATAACCACATAACCACATATTCCAACCATAACTGACTACTTCTAAAATACAGTAGATGCTTCTCTAAATGAAGAGTATAAGCTCAACTGAATGTTGACTAAAGATGGAATGTTGGAGTCATGACTGTGATAGTGTTTCGTCCATTGAGGATTACAAAAACCATACAATAGAATATTACTGTAAGAGCAATGAGCATGCAAACAGGAAACTGAAGTCATTAAGTTAAATGCTTCGACAGACAATTTTAATGCGTTACAAATTAGTGAGTAGGCCCCCGTTGGGGAAATGCTGAAATAAATGAGTAAGATGATGGTGGGTGGATAGAATGCGAATGTACGATGGAGCAGAGTGATCACTACCCATGAAGTAGGCTTATTTTTTTCAACATCAAAATAAACTGATATAAAAGAGAAGACCATTAGCTTATACAATTGTCTCTGTCTGATAAAGTAAGAGGGTTTCATAAATAGTATTGAACCCCAAATTAAGGATATTTAGAAGGTATTTGAAAGGTGAGTGTAAGGAAGAAACCTATTTTATGGGCCAATGAAACTAAAGCCTGGGTGTTAAGCCTATTTCTTCCGCATTATATATAATGTGCCACCTTTCTTCGTAATATTTATAGAATGATAATACTGCTGTGAAAATTAAAAATATTCATGCATCATCGTTTGACTGGTAAGAGGTATTAATCTTCTGTCTACGTTTTCTTATACTGGGCTCTAAAAATAACATTTGTCAATTAAACTGATCTGTAACAACGTTCACATCTGAGGTAATTTAGCTCTTGATTATTTCTGTTAGTGTTTTAGTTATGTGGAGGTGATGAAAAAGGGTTAACAAGAAATATGCAAAGTAAACTTGCCTGATTGTCATGAAGTCAAAAACGAAGATTTCGAATTCACGGCTTAAGAATTTTTAAGTAAATTGAACTGTGACGCTATGAATACATTTGATTTTGGAGATATTTTAAAACTCTTACTCAACTCTGTCTTGTGACTGCTTGCAACCATTGAACTGTAGGATGAACTAAGGTTTTCATCGATAACTAATTCTTTCTGTAATGGATTGCGTTCCGAGGTAATACATACATGATTCATGTTTGGGTTCTGATTAATGAGTTCTAACTGTCATTGCATTACCTTAATGCTCACTAATTTACAATGATGCAATGTAATGAACATTTTCGTAAACCATGGATGGTTATCATCGCTCTTATGAATTATAAATTTTTGATGGATATGTAACGAGTTTGAAATTGTTCAAATAAATGAATGAAATGATTTAATCGAATGACACTATACATTGATTACTCAGGATACTATTCATCTAAGTTATCTGATGTTACCTGGAAAGAGAGAGTTTGTGAATATCTACAGAACGTATTGTAGATTTGCTGACAGGCACACTTACCCGCTGAAGACCTTATATTATTATGAAAAACCAGAAGTGACAAAACATAGTATCAGAGTTGAACCAGGGTAATCTAAGCTGAGGCACGATACCTAGAAGTAGTAGTAGCAGGAGCAGTTTCTAGACGTGTCACTTTTTCACTTGTTTTTGAATACAAACCAATAAAACCACACAAAGTAGACTACAGAATAATTTGTAAATTCTTTTTATAAAATCATTTTAATAAATTACATTTAATTTTAAAAAAAAGTATGAGGTTTTAAAATCACAACAAAATTATCGAATTCTTTACACATTATTGACAGTTTTGTACAAGAAGAATTTTTTCACTGAAGCATTTCTGAATAGAATTTTTTCAATAGGTTCAAGTAATTTTTATAACAAAATAAATAAAATAATCGTACATTTTTTTTGTATCTAGAACATTCACTAACAGTAAATGTTTGTAGTACAGAACAGAAACACATTGTTCCGTATTACTTATGAAATATCACATAATCATGTTCATTGTTTCATTCATTTGACATTGTCTGTCTCATACAACTGGATCAATAGTTGTTTTATGTGCTTGCAATCGTTTCTGATGCGTTTGTACACCTTTATCTAAACCATTACATTCAATAATATCTTCTAATATAATCACATTGACTAATTGACTATTTTTATGCTCGTTTTTCATTCTATATTTACTTTTATTCGTATTACGTACTAAATGTTTTTTAACTGATGTCTCAGTTAACGATGGAATATAAGCTACTTTTGTCCATGGTATCCATGGAGTTGTCACAGTATTGGGATTAGATAATTGGTCAATACTTTTCTTGTCTAAATGCGAATTGATCAGTTCTGATGGATTTATGTTGATTGATGGTTGATTTGTTTGTTTTGATGTTTTATCTGTTGAATTTTTAAACAGTTTATTCAATTTCCATTTGAATCTAGGATTCACAGCCAATCGAGCTGTTGAGAAATAGAAGGTGAAAAGGAGATTAATTGCAAAAAAGTGTACATCCAGAATCTATGAAATTATTGGTTGTTTGAAACGTTTTACTTTCCACACTATTCTCAGTTATCTGATGAAGAAATTAAAATAAGACTAGTCCTACAATACGTTTGTGTGCGTAAGATTCAATAATGAAGTAACTATCTTTATAGGGTTGTGAAAATGGTTGACTTTCATCAAGATCGTAAATCGATCAATGTTAGGTTACCATCGGAAACCCAGAAGCACTGAACGGTTGTTTCTTCCTCGTGTGGGACACATTAGCAAAGCACATCAACGACCTTGCAAGCAAGAATAAAACTCAGGACCTACAGTTTCACGCACCAACGCTTAAACTCTTCACCACTTAGCCGGTATCTAACAGTGTTAATGTATAACTTCAATCCCTCCTAGATATTGGACGACCTTCATCCATTGTTTGCGGTGCATAACTAGCTCACACCCAACACAGTTGAATTCCATTGATTACGGCTTCTCATTATAATTCCTTGGCGGAGCTAGCCACTAATTAGCACAGGATAGTTATCAGTACAGTGCTAAAGCAACTGAATTACTTCATAACTCACAATCTCCAAAAAAAATATTGTTCGTTTAATGCAATATGAGCTAAAATACTATTGATGCTTGTAGTTTCCCTAACATACAATTTCGTTTAATTGAATTATTAAGGCAATATTGGATAACATACTGACATTAAATAGATAACATTTGAAAACCAAGAATTAGAGGACAGCTTTTTCGTCCTGAAATGGAACTTCCCAACCAAAAACACAGAAAAATCTGCCGATGATGGAATCCCTAGTTGTAGATATTAATTTAATTAATTACTGTATAATGGTACTGCAATCGCCCTTCCATACACTTTATATACTGAACTATTCACAGTTCGATAGGAATTCCAAATACTCTTACTAAGAATAATTGTATCGTTACTGATGCCACACAAATGTGTAATTTGTACTTTTTAGATATTTTTGGTCATTTGATTTACTCACCTTGTACTGTATGACAAATATTTTTAAAATCTGTTCGTATCCATTCTTCATCATTTTTAATCGGTCCTTGTGTATAAAACCATGGAGTGAAAAGATCATGAAAAAATATATTTAGAATAACAAAATTTTGTCCATCTCTTTGTATTTTTAATATGTTGGCTGTATTCCATCGACCATATTCAGCTTCTAAACATTTCATAAATTCATTGGCAAATATTCGACTATGAAATGTTACACCGTATCGATTACCTTCATGTGATACAGTATACCAACCTGTAGTGAGATGTAGAAAAATTTAAATGTTTAGTAAAGTTATTAATAACAGAGAATGTGACAATTTATAAATTATGTTAACTACTTGGTAATATTGTAACAAAAAAAGCTGTTCATTGTTTCAATAAATCATTCAGCGATTATGAATGATCCACAATTTCTGAAGATGACAAATGTTGTTCTGGCCTTTTAGATGTTCTTATAAATTAGTTTTCGAGATTTATTTGATTTTTATCGGAGTGTTTTTATACTATTTTAGGGGTAAGTACATGTAATTAGTTGTAAGTATTCATTGACTACAAAAACAATTAGACCTTTTTAGTGACTTCGGTAGATTTGAAATGGGGCTCACCATTTTAGTGACTAACTATCTGACCCACATATTTATCACCAGTTAAATACGCTGCAAAATAAATCTCTCCTTCATCTTCCGTATATCATAGTTGGCGAATCCCGTGGGTGCAACGGCGGTAATAACAAGCCAAATACGGATTTGGTCGGATGAATTTATTTACAGTCATGAGAACAAAAAGCGGACAAGCAAAGCAAAGCGAAGTGTAGAAGGCGAGTGAGCCAACTCAAGGCGATAAAGCATGACTAAGTATTTATAGTCAGGTAATAAGAAGCTATAAATGTAATGGGCGAAGTAAGCATGCACATACACACTCAAGTAAAAATAACCAAGATATAAGTAAATAATCGACAAGTTCGAAAGATGACTGAATAACTGGAGAAGAATGGATTGACCAAATTGCCCGAAGGATGAGGTAAGCCATGTGAGCTGGACATATATGTATACTACAACTTGTATGCGGTATATCTATTGTATGGAGTAATAACAAGAATTACAATCTCTTATTATTCAATAGCTGTCAGTATTCCGTAGATTTATTTTCCATGGATGATTCTCTAAAAAAATCGAAAATCAGATGTTAATTAGGATTTATCAATCTTGGTTAATAGTAGAATCCAGGAATCACGTTTCGTCCCATTCGGGACATTCTTAAAAAGCCCATTGCGTTATTCATCAGTCTATAATGGGACAATAAGTGAGCCTTTGATCTTAGAACTAGTCACAAACCGTTTGTCCGATTGGGGGCTTTGTGTGGATTATTGAATCTCATGGGTGATAGATATCCCTGACTGAATGTAGTAGAACAGACGCTAAAAACCAGGAGGCACTGGAAGACTATTTCGTCCTAACATGGAAGTTCAGTCATCTGACTGTGAGGAGGTCACCCACTAGTGACATCTGTGAACGACAGCACAGTATTATACATGAAATGAAATGAAATATGAAAACGGTTTGATGACGGCCCAGTAAGCTAGAGTTTAGGAGCTTTTATCTTGACCTGAAGGTCGTGGATGGGCCATGTACTATAATAAAGTTAATTCTAGTCCACTCTGGTTCTCGATGATTATTTACCTAACATCAGTCCATGATTTACATTTTAATATTCCTAGAAAACTCGCAGCAAACTGAATATCTCAAATTAAACCGCATAGCATGTATTTATACCAACAAAGACCAGTCACAATTTAGGCAACAACCTCAGCAACCGGGTAGTGCAATTTATCTAATAATCACATAGATAAAAGTTAAGTTTCAATAATTTTTAACTGACCACATTTTTTAGATTTTTGATTGTCATTCATTCTGTTGTAATAATTAATATTTCTAGGTTTAGTATTACTTATTCTGGTTTAAAAATGTCAGATTTCGTCGGTCCTGGGCTCGATATCAGTACTGGAATATTAATCGCGGATAAGATTAAATCAGAATGACAGTTTTTTAATGCAATAAGTATTAGCTGACGGGTGGAAACAAAGTGAAACGGTTAACGAAAAGAAGTAGTATTTTATGAAAGCTGAAAAAGTGCCTGGCAACAGAAACTATGACGTACATTTCTTCCTGTTCAGGAATTTTTAGCTTGATATATCTACACCTTAGTTTTAATATTCACTCCGAGATTCGTAACCTGTACATCACGCTTCCAATGTTTAACACGCTATTCTGTTCACTAATGAGTTCAGGTAGCCACTGCCTTGTGCATTGGAGTGAAGTTGAACTCAATTGTAAGGCTTATTCGAACTTCTTCATTATTACTGATGTTAAGGATTACAATTGATCAGCTGTTTTTGGTATATGCTCAGATTGTTTTGATATTGTTAATAAATACAATGTTTGACATAAGATTAACTGAATACGTTTGTCTTCTGTCAGTGACTATTCACTGCTTAGTTTTAACTGATATGTCATTTTCATAAATAAATGATAGTTATTTCTCCATGATGCTTCATTTAGCAATGTATCTCATGATGTAGTAGCTCCCGCAAATAATGAATAAAAGACCAAATGACAACCTAAGCAGTTTTCTAGATAGACCACCATGACGTTCTTGAAATCTTTTCCTTTATATATATATATATATATATATATATATATATATATGTTATATACTTACAAAAATGGGTGTTTATTCTTTTATGTACCAGCCCACGGAATTATCCTTCTTATCCACTTAAACATTAATTACTTAAAACGCTTGATATACTTGTGAAATTGTCGGCAATTCATTCATGTATTCATACATACTTATTAAATCATTCACTTCACTATGCTTCGATTTTATCGTGTGAAGTGAATATTTAAAATAAAATTGTCTCGAAAAAACGTCTTTCAGACTTCTGAAATATGCTTTAAATTTGATAATTAGTGGGATAGCAGTTGTTTAGTCATGTTGCATACGAAGTTAATAATAATAATCTTCAGTAGATGAGACTGAATAATTAAATTGGGACTTGATTAAATTTAAACTTTTACTTAACTCACTCTAAATAGCACGGTGATAGAACGAAAATGGATGACTTCAATTCAAAACATCAGTAATTTTACCATTTCAGACACCTCACTGGTTTTTAATCAGTAAATACATCTAGCAAGAAGGATTTTTTCACATTTCTGTAGTAATTTTGTTAAAGAAACACTTATGAGTTAAAAGTGAAACGTATTTTATGTTGCTTCACGGCGAGTTTCTCTTGCTAATCGATATTCTCTTCAGATCTTCATACACGTATTACTTATTCCAGAAAGAAATTTAATTCTTCCCTTAAAAATAACTACAGTTAATATTCATTATTATTAGAAATGAAATCTAATTAATATGTAATGAAGGAAAACTTACGTGTATCCCATTGGAATTCGGCATCATCTAAATCAAATGAACAAGGAAACATAATGTAAACACAGAGTCGCTTGATTTGATTAGGTGAACATAAAGTGATAAAGTTATTTAATACGAAGAATAAAAATAGTTACATCAAAATAAAGTGAATTTTTCAGATAACATTTATTTATTTGTTCCTCTTAGTGTGAGTTAACTGAACAAAAGTTCTTTCCAAATTATAAAACGTGACCTTTATGTAATGAAGAGCTTGAGTAGTTTGGAAGTTTTCGACCATTGACGCTTTTAAAACATTGTTTGTGTGTAGTAGGACTACTACGTAATCGAATTCAAGGTTAAGAATTAGGTCAGAAGTAAAGCGACTGATGGAGCCATCAACCTTTGTTGATTTGTTTCGAATGACTCGCCACTCACTACCTGCATGGTTCTGTTGGGGACTAGAATAGTAATAAAGAAAGCTATAGGAGAGGTAGAATAAACTGCCTTTGCAGTTCATTAAATTAAATAACTGTTTGACAAAGACTTACTGATAGTGTAGGCTTGCAAACTGATGACACAGACCAAAATCTATTGTAATTTGTCAACTGTATTCACCGGTAGTATTCATCAGAACATGAGTTTCTTATTCTTCTGCATTAGTAATTTCCTTTTTAACTTCATGTCTTACATTTATGAAGAGGAATAAATATTGTTATTTCTGCTAATCTACCTTCCTTTCTTATAGTATTCATAAAATGTGGATCAACGCACATCCTTAGTCGTATGTTGCTTACAATTAAATAACTGAACTCATTGAATGAATGACAATATATTTAGTCTCTGTATTAACATTACGCATCATTATTATTCTACATAGTGGATAGAGCTAAATTTAAGTACTATTTAGATAAATCAGATAGAGAACAAAATTAGTATTCTGGATTGATATTTGAATGATCTAGGTCACTAAATACTTATGCTACTAAATTTTTTGTACCAATCTTGTTATCAATCATTTATAGTTTGTTTAATTCTTTGAAGTATGAACAGGTCATCATTGCAATCAAACATTTGATTTTAAACATTACTGGATCATATTTTTGCTAAATATTTTAAAGGACAATGATTACCAAAGTCAATCAATAAGTGCATCGCTAGCCTACGCTTACACAAATAAACATTTCCGTTCTTACTTACTATTGTTAGCAAATATACAAGCAAAATGTATGAATAATAATAATAGTATTTTTTTAATCATTCACTTTGAGTTGAGAAACGATATCAGTCTAAAAACTAATATAAATCAGGAAACATTGTACTGATGTTTAGTTCAGATTTGGGACTAGCTGATATTGTACATTGATTATTCTAAATATTCTAGAACTCAGAATCTTCCGGTCTCTCAGTAAACATAATCACGTTCATTTACTGCATTGAAAAGCAGAAATTCACATATTTCATCTACACTCTATTCATAATATAGTACAACTTTCAATCAATAACAAATCACTATCGATTCGGTTGACATCACAGGTCACATCTTCTCAATAGAATTTCAAACAACTCACTAGTGAAAACGCGGTAACTATACAGTTTGGAACTTTTTAGAAAAAAAATATTGTTCATTCAATCATGTGACATTGTTTACAGTGAATAGTTTAATTGCTAAGGTTTTGTTCTCGATCTGAGCAATTTCTTTACCTTTAAAATTTAAATCTTAGTGCAAAATCATTCAGTTCATTTATATGAGCGACTGCTCTTCATCAATTTTGAATTTTTGTTCAAATCAAAAGTTATCATCTTGTTATGTTAATTTCTACTATGTCTTCACTTTAACGACTCACACTGTAGACATAACAATAAGGGATGGCTGAGGAAGCAAAGAAACAAATGGCGTCAGATCGATAAAACCTTTACTTAACTTCGACAATTAGCATAAAATAAAACAAGTGATTTGTTTACGGCTTTTTAACATTTTGATATTGTTACTTGTCGTTTTTACATCAAACTGTCGATATCCATGACTGTCTCTCCATGTATTTAGATGTATGCCTGTGTAACAGTGGGAAAAAAAATTCTCCAGGACACAAACTATCAGAGGAGTTAGTGAGTATCTGATAAATTATACACCAATAGAGTGTTTTGTTTATGATGAAGTTTTTCTCACTCAATGCTTTCTTTACTTAAAGTGAAATTTTGATCAGTACATTTGAGTGATGAGGAGACGAAATATCGATTTTTCTTCTATCCTACTTTTTTTGAAGGAATCTTTAGTTCTACAAACTTACGGAACCTAATAATTCATATAATATTCTTTAGATTCTTAGAGGATGACCATCGCTTATAACATTTATTGATTTTTTACAAGTGTAATAGGATTACAACAAAATTGTTTAACCTTTAATCTTTAATAAAACTAAAACTTTCCTGATTGATTTTGTGCAAAAAACTTTGTTAACTGAAAAAATTATCTAAACATTTGAACTAGTGGAGGTAGATTACGCCTGTTGGAGTATCAAGAATAGAAAAATATTTCATTATGTCAAGCCAAACAGACAGACATTTTTGTACGAATTCAGTGGTCTAGAAGTTACGAGTTTGAGTGCCAGACTGAAAATCTTTGGCTTGATTGTTAGTCTCACGGTTGTGCTTATGCAGTGCTCACATATCTGACACTGGAACGATAGAACCGTCTAGTACTTACAGATCTGCTAAGGTGGTCTAGCTAATAATTCATATAAAAATGATTTTATCCTCTTAAAAATAGCTTATGAATGATATTAATTTTGTACATGTTATCAAATAAATCAGTGATCATGATGTTGATGATAATTTTATCTTTAGAATTCATCTAAAAACGAACAGTGAATAAAAATTCATAGAAAGAAGAAACTGACAGAAAACTTCAAACCAACAGTACACTGGATTTAACTCTTTACTTATATTTAAACATCTTACATAAATACTAGTAATAACGATGAATGTTAACTTACCAGAGGCCGGTGTGAATATAGGACATTCATGGTAACATCGATCACATGCTCGAAATACTTGAATTGTATAACTAACTGTTAAAAATACGATTATCGTGACAATTACTCCAAGTGGTATACCCCATCTTAAGCCTGGCCTGAAAAGAAAAGCAACAACAAGTGTAAATCAAAATCCAATCATCAATTTTTTTGAAATTCATACATAACTGTTGTAAACGCTTTTGCAGTAGTAATCTGTATATAATTATAATTAATTCAAAAATTATTGATTTTAAGTTTGATGGTCAAACTAAATGATGATTTAAAAGTGAGTCATATTAATCTGTTCAATCATCATTGTTGACCTAAACTCGACTGATTAAATTTCTAACCATAGCCTCAGGTGAAGTATGTTGAAAAAAAATTAATTATTGTAATTAACTGAAAGCCAAATGTAGGTTTAACCTATTCAATTTCTGTGTGCTATGACGCCATATCCCTGTTATTTGAAGTGACATAAGTAAAATAATTAATTAGATTTGAAATAACTAAGACTTTATTCTTTGAAATGTTAAGATAAAACGATCTTGACGAGAACTGTGAATGCAGTCTCTTCAAAATCATCTTTAACTGCTCACTTCATTACAATGAACCAATCAATGAATGTTCTGTTTTAAAATATTGCACTTCGTAAATAATTTGTTACCAGTAAAATGTTCAAGCCCGTTAACGATGCCAAAAATACTGTATCAATGATTAGCTAAACATTCTGATCATTTTATAAAATGTCTATCAGTCAAAAGTTACAAGTTTCCATTCTGCCTTACTAATCAGTTATATTGTGTTAGCCTTTGGAAGATTGTCATTTTACACCAGAGCTGTGGATAAATTCTAAAGAAAGTAGTAGAGTGCAATGCTTTTCGTTATATCTAATAGCTTAATTATCAGTGTAAATAACTTACTGATATTTGTGAAAAGTCTCTCATCATAGTAACATATTAGTGAATTTTTAAAACACCTATTTATTCTAAGTCATTTGAAATCATTAATCGATCATTGTTAGACCACCATTAAAAATATGGAAGCGCTGGATGGTGGCTTCGTCCAAGTGTGTGACTCATAAGCAGTGCGGATCCACGACCTCCGACCGCGGAAACCGAACTCGGCACCTTCGTTCTTACGTGCGATCGCCTAATCTCTAGACCAGTGACCCAACGATGTTATTGTCTAATTATAATCAATCTAAAAGGTATCGTGCAACCTCACCCACTGTCTTCGGTAGTTACTGCCTACACTTGAGAAAGTTAAACTCTACTGATCACGGCTTCTTACTCAAACGCTGAGAATTCGTACACAAAACTAGTCACTAAAGAGAACGTTTTGTTATATTCATCGTAAGGATAAGAAGGTAGTTGTTTTTCATTTGAAATCATGAATTGTCGATTCTAATAAAGTGGTATATCTATAAATCTTTGGAATATCTATGAGAAGAATCGTATAAAAGTAGACTTAAAAACAGTCAAACGTTATATAATCAAACAATCAAACAACCAGCTCAGAGAACTTAACACCACCTCAATCATCCACCTGAGCTACAAATCTTCTCCACCATCTCGCAATTCAACAAACTATTTTACTACCATAAAAGTTTCCATTAGTTTTACAGATAAAAATAATTAGATGTATTATTTATCAGTAAACAGTAGAGAATTCGTAAAACCCTCCCCAAAAAAACAAAACAAATGATGATCATTAAAGACAACTGCGGAAAGAAAAAAAAAATTGAATAAATAAATTTCGCAATTTTTTTTCATAAGAGTTTCATTCATAAAGTTTACTGTAAAATTACAAACATATGTTTGTCATATATTTTGGACACTTTCTGACGAATTGTATACTTAAAAATAAATAAATAAATATATTTATATATATGAAATGCATAAATAAATATCCATTTATTACTTAACATAACATCTTATTAAAATTCAATTTGAAATCTATTCGGACGGATTATCTTGTTGTTGATATTGATTTTTTCTTGAATTTAATCAGTTTTCGTTGACCTATCGGTATTCCTATGCATTGTGCCTCAATAAATAATTTTATGTAGAATAGATAGAATGTGATTAGCAGTGTATGCAACACCAATCCAGCTGACAAGTTCGAAATAGGACGTAACGCTCCACCTGAACTTCACTGGTATAGCTACATTCTATCTGTTCCAATATAAATCTTAATAAAATATTCTATTTTTAACATTATTCATTAAAGTGTTTGTAAGAAATATCTGACATTATAGAACATTAAGCAATGCGTTTTGTTATATTTTTTGCAGTCTAGTTAATTATGACAAGATTCGTATTCTGGGTCTGAGTTCATTGAGCTTAAGTCAGTTCACGGAAACATTGGATATCAACTTTACTCTAAAATGTATTCTGATCATTTCAGTTTACAAGTGAAAATCACTGGTTATTATTTTTAATCAATTTATTCTATCGAATAAATTTTTTCAAGAAATAAAAACAGTTTAGTGCCTTGTTCGTCTTTCATACTGATATGGATTAATCACAGTGCTTAGTTTAAAGCAAAAAAACCTTGAATTTTGTAGTGCAAGGCGTTGTTTAAAGAATCGTTTAAAGTATTATTAGCAAACTATCCAGAACATGACTTAATCCAAAATCTAGTTTTCCAAAACAAACTATAAAATTATAGTTTTCACAGACTCAGAGGTTTTTTTTTGATTATTAAATAGCATGCATACTGAATAATAAATATGTTAACCTGATGGAAACATTTCCCTTTTAAATTAAAACAAGCTGAAGCTACTCATTATTAATGATACCATTTAAAATTGTACATTTAATGTGATCAAGTTTTAGAATCAGATAAAAAAACCTTTTATAAATAAATACACTAACATATGGAAATACCAGAAACATTTTATTTTTGAAAAAAAAAAACAACGATCGAATTCACTGATTTGCTGTAATAATGTTATTCATGGATCATTAAAAATAAAAAATTATCACTAATTATCAAAAAATGCACTTAGATCTTATCTATTTGAGAACTATCGATTTCAAATTAGATAAGTTGAAATTCCATTTTGATTTTTCAATTAAATTGACATAGAGTGAACATTTGTAGATAAATGAATGCTAAATATTTGACTTGTTTGTTCGAAACCATGCATGAAATAGTTAAGTCATGTCGAAAGCATAATATGAGAATATGTAATATTTATTTTGACATATTCCTCAACTGTTGATTTGACTTATTGTGTTGCAGTTTCCCGATAAATATTCCTCACTGAAGTTTCAAAAATAAAATGATCTTAGCTACATAACCATTGAAAACTGAGGCCTATTAGATGGCCATTTCATTTCAATAAAGGACATATCAGAAGCACTCGTCTGGGACTTTGAACGCGGTGATCGGACTCGGACCTCTCAGTTTTCTACAATCTCCTCAGATTGATAATTTAATCTACTATTATTTGCACCATATTAATATTATGAACTCTACATCGTATCGATTCCACGTATTCAACATTCACTTCCGTTAGTTATTGTGTCTTGTAAACAACTGGGCATACTGAAATGTTTATTTATTTTTTAGTCTCTTATGTTATGTGCGACATTATCTACTTCAAATTATATGTGCCTTGGAGTTGCACTTAAACTTGAACTCTAATTTATAAATTTCGAATTGGCAAGTTAATTCTCAATCTTGAAATAACAATAATCTTATTTTATTTTAGCAGTTAGGCATCACAATAACAATCTTAGTCTCTCAAAATATCCATTATTTAGAATGCACTGGTTGTTATTTAGATTTAAATTTACTTATTACTGATGTTTGTAGCAGTATTGTACTTAGTGACTGTTAATATTTAATATCATGTAGTAAACTAATCATTATTTTATATAAAACTAATATTATAATCATGAGTCACTCATTGTTAGACCACCATTAGAAACCTGGAAGCACCTGACGGCCGTTCCTTCCTTGTAGAAGACTCATCAGCAGTGCGCATCCACGACTGCCACTGCTCAGAGGAATCGTAAAGAGGACCTTTGGTCTTGCGTGCGAACGCTTAACCTCTGGAGTAGTGGATGTGCATTGCTAATGAGTCGCATACTTGGGTGAAACGGCCATCCAGTACTTCCAGGTTCCTAAAGGTAGTCTAACAATGATTGATTCGTGATTTCAATAATAAACATCAATCTCCATAATTCTACAATGATAAAACTAATAACAAATAATTGAGATATAAATTATTCTTTGTATTTCTGGGTTTTTGAAAAATATTTTGGAAGTATATTGATTGAATGTGACTTGATTGAATAGTTGTTATCTTAGTATATTAAACACTTTATACAACTCGTTTATTGATATTTAATTAAGTTTTCGATAATAATTATAGGTGGTATAACCATTCTAAACAGTATTTACATATAAAACCAATGAAAAGGAGTTTTGGATTATTGAATAAGAGAAAGAACATTGAAATGTTGATCATTCTGCAATCATGACTGCTAGTACTACAACTGCTAACACAACGTTTACTATTTCACAATTGTAGTTCATTAATTTACCATTAAATACTTATTATCATCGGCATTTATACAAAGTTACATGGAATATGAAGAATATCATAGTTGTCAGTTAATTTATATCTGTTCACCAAGAGTAGGTGAATTATCTAAACCGCCTGATCAATTGGAAAACATGCACGTCATATTATTAGACTTAAAAAATTTACTGAGTATAAAATCTGTGACGTGATGCAATCTGAATATACTGAAAAGTTATCTTATTCTATACTATTGAATGCTTGTCAACCCGTCTGTTTCATTTTCTTAAAGCTAAAATAACAATTCATTTATCATTTCGCTAACAAAATATGAGTTTTAGGTCAAATTTTTATCTGACGAAACGAAGGATTGATCTATTTACGTATTTAAAGTAGGAAATAAGTTTCCAGTCAACTTTCAAACATCCTTCCTTATTTTGTTCATAAAGTGAAGTTATTTGTAGATCAACTGTGATTTGTAAACGAACATTTATTCAGTGAATATATATTTTTCAAGTATTATTATGCACATTAAAATCAATCTGGATTCAACGTAAAACTAAAAGTTTTCATTTTATCATT